AATTCTAGTATTTCAATCATCTGCTTCTTTTGTAGAGTTCCATCTCCGGTCTGTATTTCAACAGTTCAAGGGGGGTGTACCAACTGAGCCTTGCTACCTTCTTCCCCCGAATACAACATACGGTCATTACAGCTGTATTTACGGCATCTTTGAGTCTAGATACAGCTATAATGACCGTACGTTGTGTTCGGGGGAAGAAGGTAAGCCATTTGGTGACTTTCTGTACATCTTTCTCATACTTTCAGTGCAAATTTCACACGTGTCGGCTCGAAGTCTTTGAATCTGATCAGGATTCGAACCGGGTTCAAAGTCTCTTGTTTGAAACCAAAACACACACACACACACACACACACACACACACACTCTGTAGGCTCTCGCGGCTTCCCACCCTTGTGCAACTCGTTGGGTGTGTGTGCTTTTTTTTTTTTTTTTTTTTTTTTTTTCTTTGGGTGTGTGTGCAATTGATTGACAGATGTGTCGAGTTATATCACTTGCACTCGCAACTTTGGGCGGTTAATTCATCCAAGTAAAAAAAAAAAAAAAAAAAAAGATCTGGTCTAATATATACATACGGAGAGTTTGGCGTCGTAACTTATTCATCAGTTCGGTTTGGCAATTGGTCTCTTCTGGGTGACAGAAAGAGAAAAAGGGAGATGGCCATGGCCATTTCCCCCCCCCTTTCCCGCACCTCCCGGATAGATACATACGACCGGATGAGATAAGAAGATCGAACTACAGTAGGCTGGACGAGTAAATGCTGATGCCTGTCGACGAACGTATGTAGAACATTCGCTTTGAATTCTGACATAACAACAGGGGTTTTCACACTACCGTCTTCTCCCGCACTCAAACGTTTGCATCCTCATCACGACTGTAGCCGACCGGAAAACAGCTTTGTATACATCCACGATCCGCGTGCGTTGAGTTCAGGGGAAGACAGTCGGGATTATAATGCGTACATCAAACACGTGCTGACGTTGATCCTTCTAAAGAAAGAGCAACGGTCATGTTACAAGAAAAGTTCATTATTGGTATTATCGCTGTATCAAGACGGAAAATTGCCACAAGTACAGATATCATGACCGTGCGTTCTATTCGGGTGAAGACGGTATGATGTTTCTGGCACTGGAGGCCGCCATGCAGCCCAATTAACAGCCACGTGGATTATGACAGCGGAGGTGAGACTAGAAGATAGACGATACTAAGAGAGAGGGCATCGGCAGGACGCAATCATACTAAAAAATAGCGTGGATACATTAATAGCTGTATTAGGCCTTGAAAATACCCCTGTATACATTCATCTGGCTTCAAGAAAGACTACAAAACGAGTATAAGGGAGAGTCCAGGAGAGGGAGGTTGAGAAAATGGGAAAGAAGAGAATGAGACAGAAGGGAACGAAAGAATGAGAGAGAAAAAGAGCATGGGAGAGCTTGAGAGGGAGAGAGAGAGAGAGAGAGAGAGAGAGAGAGAGAGAGAGAGAGAGATGCAGGAGGCAGCACACACACAATGGTTTTTCTTTTTGTTGTGTGCAATGGTCTTGAGACCAGTGCTGTCAATGGCCCCTATGGGACTGGTCCTACCGGGCGGTCAACCAGGCCGGTTGGCCGTAGCGCATCTTTTTTTTTTTGTTTTTGTAAGCCCAGGGTGTTGTAGAGGCCAAGGACTAGACCCACGGTGATCGCTGGCAGTGGCACCCGGTGGTTGTCCTGACAGGATAGGCCACCTTCCCTACCCTTCCCCACGTTAATACTCCCAGCGCACCCCCTATCCCTACTATCCTACCTCAGTGTGACCAGCACTCAGGACCATCACCCTACCAGTATCGAGGTCAACTTGGACAAGACAGCAGTGACAAGCACCAAGGGGCCGTATCGCATCCAATCTGGGGGTTGTACCCTTTTTTTTGGGCAGGAGGCCTCCACGCGGGCCGTGGAGGTCTCCTGGGCCAAAAAAAAATCAGACCGGGTCCGGTAGGCCCGCCAAAAGGGCTTGAAAAGGGCGGCCTATCTGGACCTCTGATCTCGAGAGATCGGCAGCCTAGATAGGCCGCCCTTTTCAAAGTTTTTGAGTGGGAAGTACCGCCCCTACCGTGCTACTAACACCCCCAGCCCCCTTTTTAAAGTTTTTGGGCGGAAGGTCAACATTTGTTGAAAGCCAGATACATTGTTGTCAATGTCTCCTGAAGCCAAAAAAAAAGAAGTCTCCTGAAGCCCGTGCTTACTGAAACCAAAAAAAAAAAAAAAAAAAAAAAAAACCCACTAATAAAGTTCTCTTTTCACCCTTTTCTTTGCGGAATAGCCAATTTATAGCCCCCTTACCTCCCCCTTCAAAGACAAAAAAAAAAAAAAAAAAATCACCCACTTTTGGGCCCAACCGGAACTCCGGTTGGACCACCGGAGGCCCATCCGGCCGGTTGCCCACACAGCCTAGCCATGAACTCTTGTGACCAGCATGCATATGGCCAACTCCACAACTAACAGAAATGGCAAAGCAATGATCACACCTGCGCAAGAATTGACAATGTGGAAGTCTCGTCATGATGAAAAACCGTCTTCTCGCCTCTCAACAATCAATACAACAACAATAACACTTATCTGCTTTCACTGGTCTCTCGACCAGCCTATGTGATCATCCACTCCATCTACAACCCCCGCCTACACTACGTCAATATATGATGCTGCAGAGTACAATGCTGCTCCCACCGATGCTTGAACCAAGAATGTACCATGCTGGAGCTCTTCTTGGTGCCCACCAGGTATGTCCATGT